TCGTCGAACGAGGGCGGTGGGATACCCAGCCAAACCTTCGCCAACAACGCCGTGGTCGTACTGTCTTGCCAAAGTTCAAAACGGCCAGACTTGTACCATAGCAGGACAAGTGAATATAGGAAAATACAATTTGCTTACTTGTTCCGGATAGATGTTCCTGGCGGCTAACTCCTTGGGTCGGATAGCGGTCGCTGGTCGGTTTCAGGTCCTCGGGGTGGTCCTCAGGTTGGAACTGGAGCTCTTCGAGTTCAGGATATGAACTGAGGATTTTAGTCCAGGATCATTGGTTTTATTGCTTCAATCCCCCCTTGACTAGGCAGGAGTCATGGTGGGATTATACGCGTGGCCCTCGACAAAGTGGGGCAAACAGACGGTTTGCCCCACTTTCGAAGATTATTCAATTTTTCAATTGGCAATTTTGACATGATATTCTGGCCACCCTGTATAACGCAGGCCAGTTTTTGGAGCACGATTCGGAAGAGTCATCCTTACTAAACATCTGATAAAAAGATGGGCTTAGTAGCTATTAGTATAACCTGTTAGTATCAGAAAATGTAAGCAGCCAATATCGACTAGAAAAACCTTTCTAGCGAGATATCTCAAAAACTGTGAATATTTGAATAGAACTATTCTACAAAAAGTACCCTTTATTTTTTATGTAGAATCCGAAAAAAATATAAAAAATGTGTGTTTCCATTTAAAAAACCAAAGTTGGTGTCTGGCCAGGAAAAGTGGAACACCCTGTATATATATATAACTATAAGTACAGACTTACATTTTTGGTATAAATTTCTCAAAGGTATTGTCTTATACCTTTCAGGTAGCATTTTATTGTTTTTTAATGTAACAAATCTACATCAATCAACTGACCCGCATAGTGAGTGTGAGTGTAAAACTTTTAATTATTAGTTTCACAGGAATTAATCATTTATTGAAAACTCAATACTTTACTGAGAAGAGTGATAAAACCTAATAAATATTAACATTAAAAAAATTTTATAGTGAGAATGGAGGGAAGATTAATCATAAAATGTATCTCAAAATTAGAAGAATCAACCAAGGCAAATTTTTTTGTTGACATTTTCAGTTGTACAAACTACAAAAAATGTTACTACCACACATGTAAATGATAAATAAATTATTTGTTTTCAGGAAGTGTCTTTTAAGAAATGCTATCATCTACATGATATTATAAAATATAAAAAAATAATAGATAAGTTTTTAATCTTTTGTTTCCAAGACCACGGTATGCAGGAACCAAATTTTATTCAAACGAAAATGTCGAGAAAAACTGCTTATGCAGGGGGTTTGCTACTTTTAAATACATGCAGAATCGATAGTTTTTAAAATCTGATTAGATCATTTTAAGCTTTTTTTGTAAAAATTGTAAAAACATAATAACAGTGATAATTGATTGTATGCGAATAATATAAAAATTATATATATATGGATAAATATGTAAGTATATAATAATATAATATGTATATAACTAGGCACACACATACTCACTTACCCACCCATACACATGCATATATACCAGGTTGGAAAGTACCGATGGTCCATCTGCCGTTACGTGAGAACGATAAAGTAAGACGTAGAAATCCATGCGATAGACAAGGATGGGTATAGTGAAGGCGTTTCATAGTCACCGCCTGTTTCGCCCTTCCACAAATAAGTGGGAGACGAGCGCATGCTATTGGCCCAAATGTTTGCATTTTAACTTAACGACCGGTCATTGTCGTCTCGTCAGATCAGAATCAGTATGTCTATGAACTTGGGATGCGTGTGTTGTGTCATATTATTAAGACAACGCAAATTCTTAATTACTTTTAACTATTTACAATTATTTCATACACCTAAAAGTGTACGAAAATAATTGCAACTATTTTCCTCTTTTGTATTTATTTATTAGCCGGCCTGGTAGAAAGTAATACAAAAACTCTAAAACATAAATAAACTTAACTTATTACCGTAAAAAAGAAATAGAAAATTATGGTTTTTAATAAAAAATAAATAAGAAATTATGGTTTTTAATAAAAAAAGAAAGCAAACATTTTCGTTTTTAATTAATAAGTTGTTCAAAAATGTCCCCCCTTTGTGCCTCGCGATATCCTAATCTGTCATAGAACTCGCTTCTTACGCGTCCCAGCATTTCAGGGGTAATATTATGTAGGACGTCAACAATTCGGGCCCGTAAATCGACTAAATTACTTGGCCTATCGTGTAAATGTCCGTAAATGGTCTGTTTTAAATGCCCCCAAAGGATGAAGTCGTTGGGTGATAAATCTGGGGATCTGGGAGGCCATGGAATAGTGCCTCTTGTACTAATAACTGAGGAAATGTGGTTTCCAAAAAGGCGATTATCCGACGTGCATTGTGAACGGGTCAACCGTCTTGTTGAAACCACACATCTTCAAAGTTGATATTTAATGCTCGAACATCCGGAATAATTTCGAGTTGAAGCAAAGTTAAATATTTGTCGCCATTTAGATTTCCATTTATGAAAGACGGACCAATCACGGAATTTCCTAAAATACCAGCCCAAACATTTAACTTCTCAGGGTACTGTGAATGAACAGGAATACTCAAGTGCTTATTTTCCTTAGACCAGTAACGAGTTGTTTGAGAATTGTGGGTCCTATGAAGAGAAAAAGATGATTAATCAGTAAACAAAATATGGTTAAAAAGTTTTGGTCCGAATCAACTTTTTCCCTCATAGTTTCACAAATTTTCACATGGGTAGTTGATTTACAAATTTTTACCTTTCAATTTAAAAAAAAACAAAAATTTGGTAAATTTGATTTTATAAATTGTCTGTTAATAAACAGGAAAAATCTATTACAGCATAAATTATTTCTTTTTTTTTTTAAAGAAAACATGCTTTGAAATTTTTTTTTTTTTTCAAGTATTTCACAGGAGTTTTTTTTCACATAAATTAAGTTATTTTTATTATTACTTTGACAGTTGACCCTGTCACTGCGCCTGCCCCCTATAGATGTCACAAAATATATGCATGAGCTGTACGTTGGCCGTTTTTAGGCTTTTAGGTGTTTATTAATCTCTGCGACATTTGCAAATAAACGTAGTGATTGGTGCGGGTATCTTATACCGCTTAGGAATGCACTTTGCGGTCATGTCTGCTGTGTACCCTTGACGCACCATCCCCCCCTCCCCACTCATTGTTTTCTGTTTGAAATTTGTATAAATTTCTAAAAATTTGCTACTTTTACCTATTACCTCCTATTTTAATAATAATAAGCTAGAAAGAAAATACACGTCCCCCATTTAAAAAATGTTTAAAGGTTCACTGTGGCTGTTGCCTTATAGCGCCACAGTAGGAGAACAATTCGGCCTGGATTGGCGCCGTAGCGAAAAGGTTAATATTATTTTATGGAAAATAGTAAAGGCAGTAGGTATGTACCTAAACTAAAAAATAATCTTGGTGGGGAATATTATTTAGTAGACATGAAGGACCCACTTCCAATTTTTTCACGTTTTCTTGGAAACTAAGCAGTTTAACAAATTTTGATAAAAATGTATTTGTAATATTTTAAATATACCATATTTTACTATGTAGAGTGCTTTTGAGGTACTAACAAAATTCTTTTTAAAAAATAAATATAATTTTAATGCCCTATATCTTGAAGACAAAACGTTAAACCATAGTTCATAAGAGGAATCGTCTTATTTTTTAATATTCTGTTACCTCTGGTAACATGGTGCTTTTTTTCTGAAACACATTGTACAACTCTACATATATATATTTTTTCAAAATATAAAAGCTTTAGTGGCTTAAAATGTTCTACAAACTAGTACTTACTATTTTTTTTTCCAATATCTTCCTTAATGAGACAATTATAATTTTTTGATCAAATGGAAAGATGTATGTTTTGTATGATTTTAATCGTTAGTTTATTATTTTTTATGGTATAAGACTCGTATAAACATTAGGTATGTCTTTTAGTCTTGACATCAACAGAAGCTACTACCTCCTATATTTTTTTGCTTCTGTTAGGGATTTTTTCCAAATTGAATAAGGTATAATTTGATTATTATTGCAAAACATTTGTAAGAAAAAAATTAACAAAATCACTTGCTGTTCTAGTTTAAGTTGTCTATTCAGTGATTATTCAAGACACTATTTGTATCCAATTGTACTAGATAATGGCCTTAATTCCTTAAATAATTATGTACAATATTAAAGGTCCTACATACTTTATTCACCCTAGATGATTTTTCCCATCCTTTAGAATTGTATTGAGCAAAATTGTTACCGAACTGAAGTGTACAGATTAAAACTGGAAATTTGCTGTTTCAACTCAGTTTTACACCAGTTCTGCTCATAAAAATTTTACCTGATGTGCAAAATTGTCGAGGATGAATATAGTATAGGTAGCTTTCTAAGTGAATATTAAATTATTTAAACCCATTTAAACTAAATAATTTTGTTTTTAAATCATACTACCAAAAAAGTTAACTCCATAAAATATAATTATTAAGTTTTGCTAACTACTTTACAAAAGCTTGTGATATTTTTGTTCCGCATAAAATTTTTGTGTATTTTAAAATTGTTATTCAAACCGTCAGATTTTTATTAATATAACACTACTTTTGAATTAAAAAGTTATAAATTTTTGTATCAGAATTATAAAACTTTATAGCATTATAGGTGTGTGGATTTTATTATTTCTCATGCCACATTTGATAATTTTGCTGTAATACCCAAATTAATTCTAAGAATTTTTTCCTCAAACATTTCACCAAATAAATTATAAAAAATCTCATTTAAAAAATATATTGTTCCATTTAAAAATTAAAAAATTGGAAATATTATTACCGTAGATATTGAAAATAATCAGTTTTTGTTTGTTTGTACTTTGTATTATAGTATTAGTGCCGTTAACACTATTTTTTATTTTATTTAATTCCAATAAAAAATTATAAGTTATAACAAGGCATTTTTTACGAGACACTTAGAAGAAATGTAAACTACTTTTTAGATGATGAAATTCAACAGTCTGAAGGTTTTAAGAATGTATCTTTGGGAAATGTAATTCCTGCTAGTTATCAACAGTCTGTTACTCCATTCTTAAGTCAAGAAGATGCAGAACTATTACAAAAATGGCGTGTTCCTGCATTTGAATTACAAGTATGTTTCATAACTAAGAAGTAGAATAGAAATTGTCAATTGAAGAGTGGAAATTAGAAAGGGCCTAGTGCCACTTTTTCCAAAATTTAGTTTTTGACATAGAAATGTTTTAAATACTATGCTTCATGTCCTATGAAAGGTTCCAAGTGCTAATATTAATATTTAAAGTTTTAGGAGCTACTCATAAATGTCGGTATTTGTATGTGTGCTAGCGTTTTCCTTAGAAAGGTCCTATGAAATTTTTGTTATAAGAAATTACTTTGCTAATATTTCTTGTTGAAAAGCATGTTTTCCGGTTTGCACTAAACTCATGTATTTAATTAAACATTTACTAAATAAATTTTTTACTTTTATTCAGTTTTTCTTGATTATCCCAACAGTTTGTTTTTGGCACTTAGACCCTTTTTAATTTCCACTCTTCAATTATAATCTAATGAACCTACAAAAAAAAGATAATTTCTTGTACAAAAATCTTTATCAAGTAAAAATAATTTTAATTTTCCTTTTAAACAGAATATGTTATTTATTTCCACAAATATATAGTATAATTGTTATAAATTTTTAACCCTACACAATTTGGTGAGTGAGTGAGAAGAACAATATAATTTTTTTAATATATTTTTTTATAGAAATATTACTAAAATATTTACAAGGTTTCATTTTACCCTATAGCATTAAAAAAGATTCCTAATCTTTACGCCAGTGCAATACATCCACTTAATTTCGCTGTTTCGCCTCCTTTATTTGATTTTAAAAAATAGGATCATAAATTCTTACCCCTACTTTAAAGGGCACCTCCTACTAGTGTGAAATATGAAGAGATTGTATATATGAAATACATTCCTTGATTTATAGTAACAGGAAATTATCTCAAGATTTTTAGTAATTTTAAAATACACTGTATAGTACACAATAATTATTTTTGATGTACACCATTATATCCTAAACTAGAAAAGATAGAGAATTGGTTAAATTACAGAAAAGTTGTTTATATTCATATCATTTAAGATTACAACAAGAAACTGAAAATAAGTTTCTGAAATATCGTAATAAACTGAAAACTGTATTTTTATTATTTCCTCTGTACATTTTTTGTTACTGAAAGTAGCATAATGAAATTTGGTACTTATGTATCTGGCTTAGAATTTTTTAGTATACTAGGAACAAGTTGTATTTTCTCATTTTTTTTTCATAATCTTAAATAACAGAAAATGTATACACTGGTTTTGTAATTTAATAAATAGTTTAGGAGATCCTAGTGGTTACACCTTAAAGGTAACCACCACTTACAGAAAATTGAAAATGGCAACTAAAAATGTTTTATGTATTAAGTACTTGAAATATAACGTCCTAAAAATATCACAATATTGTGTGCCTGCATTATAATGAATACAAGAGAGAGACTTTATTTTTCAAGATATTTCAACCATGTTAGCAAATTTTTTTGTCGACCCAAGCTTATATTTTTTTACATGACAAATACTTATTTCAATAAAAGTGAACAAATTTTATTAGATATGGCTAACACTACTTTCCGCAAAGACAGCATTCTAATATTCTTTTGTGCCTTGATCATTAGTAAAGCTGGCACAATGATTAGTATACGAGAGGCGTGCGTATCGTAGTAGGCTATAATATAAATTAAGGTGAGCAATCATTACGTCATCGTGAAACGCTTACCGTTTTACAATTTCATAATCTGGGTGGGATCGGTTAGAAATCTACACCATCAGTTTGTTTGTACAATTGTTTCAAAGAAACGTTGACCTTGATGACTAAATGTGTGTCTGCTGAATATTGGTGCCAATTGACAACTGACCGATTGGGTCAACTTTATTCATAAGTATAAAAGTATATCAGCTTAATATTTATAAAACAATATATAGCATTGACTGTTTAGTATTAAATCAGTCTGCGGCATCTCCTTGATATCTCTTGAACGTTACACATGATGTCAAAGACACAAAAATAAAGCAACAAACACCACGTATAAATATAATGTGCTCAATTCCATGCATTTAGCTGTTAATCAGGGTCCTTAATAATTTGTACCAAATTCCATAAATAAAAAAAAATCAAAGGTATTATGCTCTAGAAATATGTTTTAAAAAAAACATTGAAATATGTATTTAAATAAGTTCATGTATAAAAAAAATTTTTTGAAAACAAGCCTTTAGTGTCACCATGCAATGTTATCCAAACTAAACGTGTATGCAAAATTTCAGCTCAATCGATTGGGGATAACTGTTTTTGACCCATACTAACAAAGCAAGTTAAATAAAAGCTTGTAAAAACTACCTAAGCCTTGAAACGAAACAATTAACTTGCAGATGAATTTGTTTAAAAATAAAATTATTTTAACGAATAAAAATATTTCCTAAAAATAATCAGTTTCTAAGATAACAATAAAAAAAATAATAATTAATGATATTTTAGATAATCAAAATATTACTAAAATCTTTTAATTTTAGGTAGCAGGTCATATTTTCTTTATTTTGTATAAAATGTTCATCTCCAATGTTTATTTGGTAATTTAATATTATTTTAACACTTTTTTTAATACTATTTGATACTTGTGAAATGCAGTGCAATACATTTTTTGGCTGATGTCAACATTTCCATAAAAAGTCTCAATTTTTGGAGATAATCGATACACCCAATATTCATACCCAAATCACGTTTAGAGTTCATAAATCAGTGTTTTGTGTATTTTAAAACAAAACAGTTTACACACACACACACACACACACTTTATACCTGCAACAATTAAATATGTTTTCTTCTCAGGTGGGACTTCATGAATTATTAGGCCATGGCTCAGGAAAATTATTGAGGAAAGAATCTGATGGATCTCTTAACTTTTCTCCAACATTATTAGACCCTCTTACAGGAAGACCACCTGCATCCTATTATGAACCTGGTGACACGTATGATACAAAATTTGGCCCTCTTAGTTCTTCTTATGAGGAATGCAGGGCAGAAGCCGTTGGTTTATACCTCAGTTTAGATCCTGATGTTTTAAAAATATTTGGACATGAAGGTAATGAAGCTGAAGAAGTAACCTACGTTAATTGGTTGTCTCTGATTTGGGCAGGAGCAGGTAGAGGCTTAGAGCAGTGGGAACCTGGACGAGGTTGGTTACAAGCACATGCACAGGTACAAATTCAGTTGTAAATACATAATGACCTGATATACAGTATCTTAGCCAAGATCAATTGTACTATACCCATCCGCCTTATTAATTTTAGAAAAAATTACCCAGACAAAAGTTGTTCAATTTTATCGTAAAGATAGTTTCAGTTATTCAGATAGTTTAGTTTGGCCCATATGCTACACAACTTGGATTTTTTAAATGAAACAATCTGTTATTACATTTTTGGATTCATCCTTCACTATTAACAAGACTGTGTAACATACTTTATATAATATCTCGTATTTGAGTTATTATTCAGTCAATCAGAAGCAAAGATACTGGAAGACATTATCACTAAGAATCCCAAAACTTCTAAGCCGGTATTTTTGAAATTAGATAATTCCTGTTGTTATTTCAAAGACAGAAGCTGTATTAAAAAAATTAATAATATTTGAGTTACTCTTAAAATACAAATTAAGCTGATCACGCATTTGAACAAATCTAAAATAACTAAAACTATTAATTTTCCAAAAAAATATTTAGCAGTTTTTTATTCAAAACACAATTTTAAATACAGCATCAAATGTCAAAAAAAAAATCTGATGGTTACACTATGTAAAATTATATTTCAAAGAAACAAAAAATGTCTATGCATTTTTATTTTGTGAAACAAGATGTTTAAATTTATTTAGTTTATTTTGAATTTAAAAAATAATAGCTCAAAAATAGCTCGTTTTTGAAACTTAATTTCTTAGAGATAATATCAAAATTAAATGCACTTAGTAGAAAGGTAGACAAGTCCATATTCATAGATCTCACATTTTACTTATCCTTGTGACATTAGGGCCATAAGACGCACATAGCAGATTACACATTATTTTTCAGACTAGAGACCCTTCACAATTCCTCAGCTGTGTGTAATAAACAGAAATGTATTTAAAATTTTTACAGTTTAAAAATCGTGTTCGATAAGATTCAGAATTAAACAGTGCAGGTTTTACATGAACAAATATTTCTTACAATAGTTACTTAAGTTTTTATAGTTCTCTAAAAAAATGAATAAATACGTAATCTACTTGCATACCAAGTTCCTTTGTTTTGTTGCTAGAAGCCATCAAATTTAATAAAAAAAAACATTCAAATAACTAAAAAGCTTTGTATGACAAATGAAATTTGCTATTCTAATACTTCTGTAAACGTCACATTTGTGCATAAAAATGGGTATAAGCATTCCCAAAAATATCCTTAGCAAATATCCTCATATTTTTTTGCAGGTAACATTACAACTTTAATTCTTATTTTATTTTACAGGTAAGGTTTTTTCAAATTTTTTGTGTATTCCTAAAGGTTTTTAAATAGTTCATTATTTTATAAATCATCACCAATGTCAATACAAATCCTTACTTACCATTATTTATTATGTTTACTTTACAAGATACTGCAAATACCTCAGATTCCATATCCCAAATTCTTAAATTCACCAAAAAAAAAATTGCGTAGAGCCGAACAGAGCAAGTTGTATTTCGAGCAGTAAAGTACATTTTGAGGAACTCCATCCACCCCAAAAATGGCTACTACGTGAATTAATGCCTATTTTGTTGCTATAACGAATGTATCCCTTTTAGCGCTAGTTGTTTTCATTGTATTTTCCAATTCCTTATCTTTACTAAATTAATGCAAAGCTGCTACCACTTTGTATATTATTTCTTGTATATTAATTTAATAAGTTTTCTCAAATGATTCTTTACATTTTTTTTTGTGGATTTGTCGATTTCACTCTATTTACTTGTATCGTTGTTATTATTTCTCACTCAACGCTTACAGTATCATGGTCATATTATCCTCGTTTTTCAATTGTATTTTGTGATCTAATAGTGAGTTTTATTATTTTCTGATAAGGATTGGAGTGTTGTTACAACTATAAGATGGTGATAAAGTTAATAGTAAATGTGCTACTTTGTCAGTCTAAGACATTTGTGCACCAGCAGCAAGTAATTCCAGTATCTACCTATTCATGAAATGGTAAAATTGTTTCTTTATTGCTAATTGAGAAGGAATACTTTTCTTTCATAAATACCATCATGATAATTAACAATATTTTTTTCTTAAGGAAAATTAAGAAAACTATCTATCACTTAAGTATTGCCTTGTTTTTCTTTTTGCCAATCTAAATACCATTTTCCAACTTCCATCCATAATTTCGAATAATTCACTAACAATAACTTTTAAAATGCCCATTTCATCTAATAAAGTACAAATTTGTTTCTTCCAAATGCTATAATATTGTCCAGTAAAAGGTCCATATATTTTATTTGTTCTATGTGCATACACTAGTTAGTTATTGTCTCACAGATTGTCAGTAGTTAATATTAATAGATTCGCTTTACTCAGACCATGATTGAAAAGAAAAACAAAATTAAAGCAATATCAATTTATTATCTACTGTTAAATAATAATCATATGAAAATTTTAGTTACTCTTGAAAAACAAAAGTCTGACATATTATTATTATGATGTTCGTTTTTCTGTTGTAGTTACTAAAAGTTGTCAATAAAGAATAAACGTATTCGTTTAAGAATTTTTTTGCTTTAAGAAGTTTTTGCTTTAATATAACTTCAAAATCTACTAGCATTTATATAATTCATTATATCTAACAAAATTGACTCTAGAATTTAATAATAATAATACTGTCAGCATTTTTGTTATAAACTGTATTAACTTAAATCAATTTCCAAGTTCTAACCACTTTTTAAATATTAAACACCAAAAATGGTTATATTGTTATCATAGGCGTAGCTACAAATTTTGCTTGAAAATAAAAGCGACTTACCGATATGATATTTGAACACGTTCTGATTTGATTCTAAAGAAAAACGCGGTCACCGACTTACCGATATGACAGATGATAATAAACGATCTCGCAGTCACTGACTTGAAGATGATAATATTAGATCCTTTATTCTGGGGTGGGCCGTGCACACCCCTGCCTCCCTCCCCCCTAGTTACACCCATGATTGTTATATTTCGTTGTTGATCACGCCAAGGGGCGTAAGTACCAAAAATGCTATTTGAATAATTTCTCAAGAAAACCACGTAAAGAAAAATCATTATAAATGACTTATGTAGTATGTGAACTGGATATCGTGGTACTAATATAGATATATATAATATATACTTTCATTATCCTAAGGACTTAATTCAAACAAGGTCCTCTTGTTAAATTTCACTAGGATGTGTCGTTTTCCAGTAAAATCGATTTCAATTATTCCCAACGTGCTCCAAATTCAACTTTCATTACATAGCAAAATAAATTAATTGAGTATTCTCAGTGCCGTTTTATAGTAAATAAAAATATCACATAATTTAAAAATGCAACAGTATACATTTTCTGAGTATGTAGATATGCTTTTGACGTTAGGTGAATGTCATGGAAGCGCAAGAGCAGCCGCACAACGATACGGTGAAAAGTTCCCCAACAGAAATGTGCCCAATTACAAAACATTTCTTTGCACAGAAAGACGTTTGCGAGAACGGGGTACGTTAAAAAGGAACAATTTTGAGAGAGGCAGGTGTAGAATAATTAGAAATGTCTTGAATGAGGAAAATATTTTAAATTTAGTTGAAGCTAACGCCACACTTAGTACAAAACGACTATTAGTTCAAAATAATATGTCTCATATGACAGTATGGAGGATAATGAGAGAACAACAATTGTATCCCTATCATTATAGACAGGCCCAAGACATTTTACCACAGGACGGGCCCATGCGCAGACAGTTTTGTCAGTTGGTTTTAGACAGGTAAGCCGAAGATCCGATGTTTCTATCGAATATTATTTTTACCGATGAAGCTACCTTTACCAGAAGCGGTGTTTTTAATATGCGCAATGAACATATGTGGGCCGAAGAAAATCCTAATGCTCGGAAGGTAACCCATTATCAGCATTCATTTAAAATAAATGTTTGGGCTGCCACATTAGGAAATAATCTATTTGGATATCACATCATGCCTGGAAATTTAACCGGAGCAATGTACCATCAATTTTTGTCTACTAGATTGTATGAATTTTTAGAGGATATTCCTTTGGTAAGAC